TTGCATGGCTCCAGGCAGGATCTTTAATCCTTGAGGAAAGGAATTATTGCCAAAATCAATGAAGCAAGGCTGCCATTGTCCCCAGAGTTGGGAAAGTGCCCCAGAATCGAAGACTTTGGGTTGAGGTAGTTATATAAAAGTCTGCTGATTGGGTGAGAACTGGACTATAGGAAGCAGGAGTGTGGCTTGTTGGAAGCAGTTTATTGAAATAACCCTGTGGCCAATAGCAGGAGAGGGAATCCTGAGTCTTTGTGCCGAGAATTCTGATCTAGACTCAAAAACTTTATATCATATTCTCAGTTGTAGTCTCACTTGTATAGTTAGCCTTCTACAGTGCATTTTACTATTTCAAATGTTATTCCTCATCAGTTTTGTCCTGTATTCTACTTTTTTGTTTTTATTTTTGGTTTCCTCTCCCGATGATATTTTTTCCATTGATTTTTAGAGAGAGTGGAAGGAAGGGGGACACACACAGAGAGAAATACTGATGTGAGAAACATTGACTGGTTGCCTCCTGCATGTGCCCCGACCAGGGCCAGAGACTGAGCCTGCAACCCAGGTACGTGCCCTTGACCGGAATTGAACCCAGGGCCCTTCAGCCTGCTGGCCGACGCTCTGCCCACGGAGCCAAACCAGCTAGGGCTTGTTCTGTCTTCTAAGTGTGGGTTTCTAATACGTTGGAACCCCCAGGCAGCTTTTATGCCAGCACCGCTTTAAAATAGTGGAGGTCATTGTCCACTGCCCTGTGGAAAGCAATTTCAGAGATAATTTTTCCTGTGCCGTTGGTATCTAAAACTGTCTTCGTTCACACCCCAGTTCCTACCCTTCCTGATGCAGTTTTTTCCTTTGGGCCTGATAAGGAAACGGGCTTCTTGGACGCTGTTCTGTTCATTTCCTCTACTTCCCATTGGAGGCCACGACTTGTAGGTCTCAGTCCCTGTCACTCTGATCGTGGGTCATTTCTGTCGTTCTGAATTCCTCCAGGCGTTCTGGGTGGGTCAGTGCTAAGAGCAGCTGCTATTGCTGTGCTTCCTTAGAGAAGGGAGCTGGACAGCCGGCAGCTGCTGCCCGGTGCCAGGAGCTGCGGTGGGTATCTCCCGGTGGTGCCCAGAGATGCCGGCTGCTCACTCCGAATCCAGCACCAAAGGGCATTGGGGGCAAAGAGGAGAAAGCTGGGGTTTGAGCAGAAGGGGTTTTGGTGTGGACCGGGGGTCCCCTAGATGCAGACTGTCCTTCCTGGCGCCTCGCCCTCCCTGCTGGCTCAGGAGCTGGCTCTGTTCCGAACGGCGTGGGCTGGGGCCCTGGAGGACTTGGGGTCGGAAGGCGATGGGTTGCACAGAGACTGTGCCATTGACTGGACATGGCTCTGGTTTTGATCTGTTCTTGCCAGACACAGGCTCGGCAAATGGCTGTGTCCTCCTGGGATGGAGGCTGGTTCTAAGAAGGAAGAGTTTGCTTATTTCCTGGGCCAGAGAGGGCAGCCTTAGCTTCCCCTTGAGGATGAAGACACCTGCCCGTTGCTGAGTTTGGTTGGGGTGACTGTGTTCTCCCATTAAGCTGTTCCTTACCGTTCCCATGACTCTGATTTTATCTGACTGAACCCCTCCTCCATCATGGTTTGACTGCTTTTCCTGCATGTGTGGTCCCAGGGGACACCCTGTGCCCCCATGAGTGTCTGCTTTTCCTCCTCTGGCTGCCGGGGCCTGGGCCTGAGGTCACAGCGCACCCCCTCCCCCCGCCCCCGCCTTCTTCCACCCCAGGGGACTCCGAGGGAGGTGGAGGTGTACCAAGTAGGGAGAAAACCCTAGGACGCAGCCAGGAGCAAAGGGGCTGGAGGAAGTGCTGATCTGTAAAGGGAACAATCTCCACAGCTTTTTAAACAACACGGTGCAAGGAAACACCTGTCTCCTGCAGGGCACAGCCGGCAGCAGAAGTGCAGGCCTCCGAGGGCTCCGTCTCATCACTCCTATTCCTCTGCCTCCCTCCCTCCCAGCCTGCCCTCTGGCTCCACGCTCCTCACCTGGCCCCTCCAGCGCCACTGGTATCTCGGGGGACACCTCCCTCCCAGGCGGGCTTTGGCGCCCTCCTCTGGCCGCGCACAGCACTCTGCTCCGCCCTCGCCTATCCTCTACCTTCCTGTGGTTTAGTGACCAGCGTGTGGCTCTAGCTCCACCAGGGACAGTTTGGCAGGAAGGGGAGGGGATGAGTCCTTAGGCGTCCTACGAGGCTTTTGAGTATTTGTGGAATGAATAAGCAAAGGAGTGAGCCAGTACAGCACACAGGAAGCGACAGGCCCCGTACCTGCCCCAGGTAGGTTGCCAGCCTCCTTGGGCGTGGACGGGGAGGAGAGGAGGTGGTCAGAGGAGACACAGTAATCACCCTGGAACTCCTCCGGGCTGCTCCTGCTAGCCTTCCGGTCGGAGTTGGTTGCCTTTACAGGAAATCCCTTCCCGGATCCGCACCCCACCCACTGCAGTCGTGCTGTGGCTCTGCCTTCCCGCATCGAGTCTGGCCAACAGTGCAGGTCTCATTTCGGTGTGTCATCTGGGTAGGGTTGGCCTTTCAGCGGGTGGTGAATGCCCTAAGGTCCTATTTCTGAGGAAGCCTTTTAAAAGGACGGAGAAGAAAAACCATATCGCTCCGAAGGCATTTTTGTCTCGGCTCCCAACGAGTTGTGAGACCTGAAGGCAGAGCAATCGCCCTCCTTCCCCAGGTCTCCCCGTTCTCCACCTGGACAGCCAGAGGCGGGGTGTGCCCTCTGTGCTCCCAGTGCTCACCCCTCACGACTCTGGGATTCTGACCCCCGCCCCTTGCTTGTCCCTGCCAGGACCTGGGACAGGGGTCCGTCCCCGCATCCGCCAGGTAATTGAGCTTGTTGGCTCACAGTCCAGGCCAGTTCACCGCTCAGCTACGTAACAGATGGACATGAATGGAGTAGGTGTGGTGTGGCTCCATGGAGACACCACTGGCACTTGGCCTCACCTCTGCCAAGAAGTTCCAGGCACCAAGGACACTGCCTCGGCCCCGCTCAGACTCGGTTCCAGTTCTGAACTTTGTTTGGTGGGGTTGGTTCCGTCCCTTCAGGGTCAGGGAGGATTGGAGGTGGCGGCTGACCGGGCCACCATGCAGGGCCTGGGAGGAACAATGGCGTTGGGACACGTGTTTCCACGTGAGCTGAGCCTCACCCTGTCTGTAAGACCCTGCTCCCTGGCTCTGTCGGGGCACAGCCTGGCTCCCCTCTTTTCTCAGAGCATTTTCTACCTGTTGCACCCACTGCATTGCATTTGTTTAAAAAAAAAAATTCATTAAATCTGTCAGTGGGTTCACAGCAGAGGCAGAGGTGGTAGGGGACCGTTTGGTTTGTGGGTTAATTTTTTTGCTTCTGTGTCTGAGGTTTGTGGGTTTCTTGAAGGCTGGGAGTGGCTTGTTTTCTGTTTGGGGGAATGTGTAGGTTCATATTTGCTTTCTTGGCTGTTTTTCTCAGTTCCAACCTCATTTCTCTCGGTCCAGTCAGGTGTGTGTTCTTTCTTGTTGGAGCATTGGTCCCCACCAGTCAGCCAGAGCCCAAAGATGGTAGAACCACTGGTGAGTAAAGAACATGAGCAGAAGGAACCCCGCGGAAAGGTGGTGGGTCTCCAGGACCCGTCCTGGCTGTGAAACAGGGAGGTGGTGAGGATTGTGTGTCTGGGTTAGGGGCCCCTCTTAGAGGAGATGGCAAGAGCGCTGGGGTGGGAAGAAAGAAGCAACATCCGATGTCTAGTGCATACACGGAACTACCAGACCCTCCCAGAATCCTTTGTGCAAGGCTGATCGGGCGATAGCAGAGGAGTTTGCCGGAGATGGTAAGGTTGCCAAGATGAGTAAGAATTGATGGGGAAAGAGGCCAACAAGCGCGAAAGAGAGGAATTCAGGGAGTTTTATCTTGGGCAAAGGGTAGGTGCTAAATCAGTATTGTTAAAAAATAAACTGGTGCATATTAAAATTTTTACAAGTTTATCTGAGCAAAAAATGGATTCACATCGCCAACATGGAAGAGGTTAGCAGTGCTCCACCAATAGGAGTGGGGGAAAGATTGATACAGAAAAGCAAGGAAGCAAAGAGAGGCAAGTACTTGATCAAATATGGATTAAAGCCTCGTTGGCTGTTCGTGATTGGTTGTCCTTAGGGTCTGATTGGTAACCTTGACATTTACAAGCTTAGATTTGTTTTTTCCTCACGTAGGCCACCGTGACATTAGAGCCTAGTAGCTTTCTGGTTTAACTCACTTAACAATGGAGAAGCTGAAATCTCGGGCATAGTGAAAATAATTACCTTTGGAAAATGCTCCAGGAAGACACAGTCCGTATTAGAAATTGACATTTTCTGTCACTTGAGTTGCATGTGACCGCTTCCCCCTTCCATTGTGAGACTGTTGGTTTTGTCTGTTGAGTTCCACAGGATGCCCTTGGCGTAGGTGAGGGGTCATGTTCTATGAAAAGTGTCTTTTTGAACAACAGGATCGTACTCGGGAGCGAGCAGCTGCTCCCAGGAAAGGTGGGAGAGAGGGACGGATTTTTGGTTTGGTTTCCGCAGCCCCTCTCCTTGTGCTCGACTTGCGTAGGAGTTGCACGTGTGTGCCTTGTGGTCACAGGATTCTTTCTACCTTTGCTCCCCCTAAGCTGCAGAGACTTAGTGGGCTCCTTGACAAAGAATAACCCCAATATCTTGGTACTGACTCATTGAGATATATTTAAAAAAATTTTTTTTTTTTTTTATTGATTTTAGAGAGGAAGGGATAGGGATACAGAGATAGAAACATCAATGATGAGAATCGTTGATCAGCTGCCTCTGGCTCGCCCCCTACTGGGGATCAATCCCGCAACCCAGGCATGTGCCCTGGGCCAGAATCGAACCCAGGACCCTTCAGTCCACAGGCCGACGCTCTGTCCACTGAGCCAAACCGGCTAGGGCTCATTGAGATGCATTAACCTCACGGCTCCAATTCTCTGTTTTGTCCACAGGTTGCTGGTGGGAGCCCCGCGGGCAGTGGCCCTTCCGCTGCAGAGGGCCAACCGGACAGGAGGCTTGTACAGCTGCGACATCACCTCTCGGGACCCGTGCACACGGATCGAGTTTGACAACGATGGTGTGTTCCCTGCTCACTCCGTGTTCCCTGGGCCAGCTCCTCGGTACCCCTCTCGCCCTTTCCATGAGGAAGGGAAGGGGGACCAGCATGCATTCTTGGAGAGAGGGCCACTTTTAATTGCACCAGCCTTAACTGTTTCTTGGTTGCCCTGAAAACACTGACCGTTTTCTAAGTCCCATTGAGGCGCACGGTATTGCTGCGCCTCCTAGCCCTGATACGGTGTATTGGTGCTGCCACCTAGTGGCGTTTCCAAGTTCTACAGGAGGCTGCTGAAAAGCTGAATTCAGAGCAGGGAAGCGAATTGAATGTGCATGTCTTGTACGCAGCAGCCAAAGTTCTCACTTGCTGTTAAGTATTTGGGAGGAAGCCGATGTTAAATTTCAGACCTCTGGACTGAGAGCTGACCAGCATGAGTAAAATTTGTCCTGCTGTCTCAGGTAGAGGCTTATTTGTGAGGACTGTATGTTGGGCAGAGCAATTCTTAGCAACTGAGAAGCTCCAACCAAACCTAGCATGACATACGTGGTCTGTGTAGATTTGCAGATTCATGTGTTATTTTTATGTTCTTCTCTTGCTTTTTCTTCTTTCAGGGATGATTTTTTTTTTCTGATTAGAAAATAATACACGTTAATTATGGGAAACTTGTAAATGGCAGTGACCTATAAAGAAAAACCACTGGTGCCCTAACCGGTTTGGCTCAGTGGAGAGAGCATCGGCTTGCGGACTGAAATGTCCCGGGTTCAATTCTGGTCAAGGACATGCTCCTTGATTGCGGGCACATCCCCAGTAGGGGGTGTGCAGGTGGCAGCTGATCAGTGTTTTTCTCTCATCGATGTTTCTAACTCTATCCTTCTCCCTTTCTGTAAAAAAAAAAAAAATCAATAAAATATATCTTAAAAAAGAGAAAACCCACTGGTAATGTAGACAGAATCGCTTTTTATTTAACATTTTGGCATTTCCCTTCTGTCTACTTGACGTTGTTCAGTTTCCATCGTTTTGTAACGATTCCAGATTGAAAATGGTTGCCTGCCGGGCTTCTCAGTGAGGAAGGGCAGACATTTGGTCAGAAGGTCATACAGTAGGTTCACACTGATATTGAAATGAGCACATGGTGATATTTGTGGTTTCTTTGTTTTTCGGGGGGCAGAAGGAGTGAAAAGAAGTTTACCCCTTTCTTTCTTGGTATCAATAGAAAAAATACAATAGGAACCTGAGGTCTTATCTTCCCATCTCCAGTAAAGAAAGGAACAGCGCATGCTGTATGTAGCAGGTTTGGGAGTGTGTAGAGAAGCGTACACTTCCTTTTAGTTTGGATGGTAGTTGGATTTTGGAAGCTGGAAGTCTTACATTTTCAAATACCTCTCTGAACTGGGGACACTGGGTGTCAGAGGGTGAAGGGCCACCTGGTATATTTTATGTGAAGAATTTATGCAAGAGTCTTACCAACCATAGCTTGGAGTCAATGCTACTTGGAAACCGTTTCTTGTGTGTTTGTCCATCCATTGGTTCATTGCCTGTTTGAGTCACGTTCAAGTCCTCACGGTGTAACCTGTGCTGCTCTCCACAGCCGACCCTTCCTCGGAAAGCAAGGAGGACCAGTGGATGGGGGTGACTGTCCAGAGCCAGGGTCCCGGTGGCAAAGTGGTGGTGAGTAGAGGCACTGTGTCCGAGTGCCCTGCTTACCGCAGTGAGCACAGCAGTGCTTTTCTTTAGAACATTCAAATTCAAAGAACTTACTAACAAAATTCTATTGAATATCTCAAACCCTAGATGGTCTTTGAATATAAAAAGCAACACAAGTTGGACATGGTCCCAGGAACCATGTAGCTTTTATAGATGAGTATAAAAAAAATATGGGAATTGGAATGGAAAGTAACGTCAGACTTTTTAAACTCCCATGATTTATTCTGAGCTTCTTCAAGGAGAAGTGGCAGCGAAAATGAGAGGGTCTGTTAGATGGATTATGCTGGGTGACCTTGGGAGTGACCTGTGGGACTGACGTATGATGATCTTTCTGTGTCTCCTTCAAAATACGATGGCTATAACAAATGTCTATAGAATTTGGAGAGGGGGGGGGGAAATGAGCATTTTACTGGACGTTGAATTTTGCTATTGAAGGGCTGTATTAGGGGAAATAGACTTGGATGTTGTCAAGTATCTTTAGCCTGTGTTGTGTGGGTACAGCATTGAGTAAAACTGTAGAGATGATTTCCTCTCACCCAGCAGTGTAGTTCTCTCTGCCTTATAGGAGAAGCTATCTCAGAGCTTAGGTTATAAACTAGGATGAAGGGTTATAAGGGCGTAGTGTGGATAAAAGGAAAATGTCTGGTTTGGCATGTTTGCCTGATTTCTGTGAAAATGTGCCCGTGGTTTCTCTCCTTGGCAACAGGCTATTTTCACAAACATACTGATGGGAGGGTTTATACAGCCACTAAGCCAGTTAGATTAAGAAAATGAAATCAGGTGTTTCCATTGTTTATGTGACAGCTGCATTTATAAATAAATTACCTGAGCATTATCGATTAGCCTTCAGTATTCAGATCGGACATTATTCTTTGGGAGAAAATAAGACAGAAGTCCTATTGTTTCTATAGGCTGGATAAAGGTCTTCTTAGTGACACTTTGGGGGAAGATTTACTGGTTTCAGGTCCAATTTTCTGGTTTCAGGGCACGTTTAACATCCTTTTTTAGTATTGAGAGTTGTATCCATTTGTAATGAAAACCATAAGGTTTGTAGACATGCGTGGGCTACTTCATTCCATCTGTTTGCAGACATGTGCTCATCGATATGAGAAAAGACAACATGTTAACACAAAGCAGGAGTCCCGAGACATCTTTGGAAGGTGTTACGTCCTAAGTGAGAACCTCCGGATTGAAGATGAGATGGATGGAGGAGACTGGAGTTTCTGTGACGGCCGACTGAGAGGCCATGAGAAGTTTGGCTCTTGCCAGCAAGGGGTAGCAGCCACTTTTACTAAAGACTTTCACTACATTGTGTTTGGAGCCCCGGGAACTTATAACTGGAAAGGTATGATGTGTGTTTGTAGAAATAGAGATTAGACTATGTTATTTCTATGATATGCACCACGGTTTGGTAAACTTTAAATTAAAACAAAATGTGTTGTAGTGTACTCATAAGTTATAGAAGTAGGGGAGGATATTAAAAATCTCTAAATCATATGACTTTTCGAAACAAACAATGGTGCAAATGTATGTTTTAAGAGATTTTTTTTTTCTCCACCAGCAATTTACATTAATACAAGTAGTTAACTTTTTTCTGGAAGCATATGATAATTAACACTATAGTAGTTTAACATTAGTGGTATTGCTGTTTTATTTTTGCCTCTCATGAAGCTGGAAGTCTTAATGTTAAGGTAGTGATCTGAAAACTGAAAAGAATTGAGTCTGTCTTGTACAAATAACAGTGTCTTAATCTAGACATTCCTTTCATTATATGCTATCTTAAAAGGCTCATCTTTTGCTGATAGGCTTAGAAGGCTAGATGGCAGATTAGGGAATTTTGAGATGATAATTTCAGATAGCTTGCAGAAAAGTTGTTCAATGGTTTTAATTATCATTGCGATGTCGTAAAAGGAGACATGGGAAGGGGGAGGGAGAAGAATGGCCCATATTTTAAGGAAGTTACTACAATAAATTTTATGTTATAACATTTTCTCTAGTCAGGAAATCTTTTCCTTTCCATTAAAACACTTCCAAGTTTTTAATTTCCTGTTAGATACAATCCTTGAGGACACGCACTCTGTATGTGACCCACAGGGACCGTGGGCAGCAGTATCCTTCCCCCCCCCCCCCCATCGACTCTTTTCACATGACGGTATTTCCCAGGTTATTTCGACCTAATCAAACCAACACATTTAATTTAGAAGTAGTTTTATTTTAGGAAGGACAGATGCCATACATAATAAGACAAAACAATAAAAACACCCAGCAATTATGTCTGCCTTAATTTACAGGAAACATGTCTTGTTGTTTTATTAACCCTGACTGAGAAGGTTACTCTTTTTTAAAAAGTCACATACATAGTGGGTTTTTTATAGAAAATCCTTTTAATGAAGGATTTTAAAAAAATGAAATAGATCAAAATATTAACTTCATTTTTTACTACGGTAAAGAAGGTAACAATTTTGGATTATAGAAAATGTAAATATCATCAGGTTCATATCATTTTTAAAATATTATTTTCTGTAGACTTAGTTAACTTTCCTTTTTCATCTACTTTCATGGCATGTTAAAAATAATTCATGAGAATACATGGGGCATTTTTTAAGTTATTACTAGAACAACTTTCTTTGACGTAAAAATTTACATGAGCATGATTTTTTAACTTCAAAACCTCAAAAGTCATTTCTTTTTTCCTGCCTTTTCTTCCTCCTAACTTTCCTTGCTGTACTTAGTGGGATAACATGAGGAATGTTTTATTAGGATCCATCTGTTTTATTTTGTTTCATCTTCACTTTTGTTGTTGTTCTTTTTACCATCTCATTCCTTCAGGGATTGTGCGCGTAGAACAAAAGAATAACACTTTTTTTGACATGAACATCTTTGAAGATGGGCCTTATGAAGTTGGCGGAGAGACTGACCATGATGAAAGTCTAGTTCCTGTTCCTGCTAACAGTTACTTAGGTAGGAACGAGAGGAGCCGGCACGCCTACCTTTGCAGAGGCCTCTGGGGGACACTGCGCTCCGAGACCTTGGCCTTCGGGCTGAGAACAGATCCGGCGGAGCCACTGCCTGAGATTGGATTGAGGCCTTGGTGGTTCTGAGGCTGGATTCTTCCCTTCTGGCCTAGGCTCCCTCACGTGGGGACGAACCCTACTTCCTCCTAAAATCCCCTGCCCTCTGCATGGATGTCCGTTTGCTGAGCCAACGCCGGCCTCTGTCACCTGAAAAGGGCTGTTTGTGCCGCTGAGAACAAACGCGCGGATGTCAGGGAGCTGAGCTGCCTCCCCTCTCCCTTCAGGGCCTCTCTCCAGGCTGCTCCTAAGAGCCGCATTTATGAAGGTACTCTTAAGTGGCAGGGCAAGACCCCAGGTCCCTCGGCTGTGATTGCCTCTCTCCGGCGTTGGCCCTGCTTCTGGATTGGGGCCTCGTGTCACGGGGCCCTGGCGGGTTGGCACGGGGGCTCCCGGCCGAGGCTGAGCAGGACTCACTGAAGCAGCGTGGGGACACCCGGATTATGGCTAAGTGCCCGTTCCTTAACTCCTAAGGCGTGTTTGCATTACTAATGGGGTCCTAAATTATTCATGTGCATTATGGTAATTACACAAAGGCTTTTAAAAGCTTTAATTCTTAGTATGAGATGACATAAAGAATAATTATTGTGCATTTCTTGGAAAAAATGTAAAAAATCTCCTAAGCCTAAAGAGTAACCTATTTTTTTTTTATTTTTTTTTTTAAGAAAAGAACCCATATGCTAAAGATATTACTGGGACAATGAAAAGGAAAAAATAGAAATAATATAAGAATAATCCCAAATAATGTGTTAAACATATTCTTAAAAAATTGTTCTAAATGTTAACTTAATTGAAAAAATAACATTAATAGTAAGTTGTTCTAATTATATAGGTATGTATGAACAGAACTGTTAACGAACATTTTTCAGACACTCCCTCCTCCCCTAAAAGTAAAAATTGAAAACTTGGTGTGAAGGCACAGAAGAGGGAAAAGTTATACTTAACTACTTGTCAAGCACCTACATAATGCTTTACCCGTCTCATTTAATCTTCTCAACAATCTACACTAATAAAAGAGCAACATGCTATTGGCCCACCAGCCAATCAGGAGTGAGTATGCAAATTAGCCCAACAAAGATGGTGGGTTAATTTGCATATGCAAGCACCAAGTGGCCGGGGGGCAGGGTGGGACCAAGGCATTCTATGCACCACCCCAGTCGCTGCAAGCCTCTGGACAGACTGGGAAGGCAAAAAGGTGGCTCTGGGCCGGGGTGATAAGGCGGATCCACCCAGAGCAAAGGCGGTGCCGGCAGCCAGGGGAAGGAAAGCCCATTCTTGCATGAATCTTGGTGCATCTAGCCTCTAGTGTTGTAAAATAAGTATTACTGCCCCTCTTGCTGGCTGTGTGAATGGCTTTGCAGGTCATGAAGGGGACAGAGGGCCATGCAGTTTTCAGCCCCAGTTATGGTTTTTTAAGGTAAATATTATCAACAAACGAATGCTTTGTTTGATTATATTTTAACAGACAACCCCTCTTCAAATGCTTTTTTCAAGGATAAGTTTATGGTGAGAAACATTTAATTTTCATGGCTCTAGGCACGAAACCAACACACTTAATTTTAGGATAGAGGCCCGTGGATTTTACAAGCTTAGTTGCTATCAGGACATTTGGGTATGACATATTTGCTGCTTTCAGAATGGGTTTCCTCAAAAGGGGATGCCTGGGAAAAGAGTCAAGTTTGTGCGGTTACATTTTAGTTGTCCATGCTGTCTGTGCAGCTGTCATTTCAAAAAACCAGTGGGTTTTAGGAATGAAATGATCTGCTTGAGGCTTTGGAAGCTGGCAGAGAGAGTGGCTTTCCAGATGCCGCGGTGGCCTCATCATCCAGCAAGAGCGAGCGGTGGTCGCGGTGGTGCCTCCTCCCTTGCATAATTGCTTTTTCTTCCATCTCTTCCACTTCGCGCGCGTGCACAGGCCTGCTGTTTTTGACCAGCGTCTCCTACACAGATCCCGATCAGTTTGTTTATAAAACACAGCCTCCCAGGGAGCCACCCGACACGTCCCCTGACGTGATGATGAATAGCTACCTAGGTTTGTGATCTCCCAGATGACACATCAATTGTCTTGGTCATGCTCATTTAAAACATTTTTTTTTTTTTTTTTATCCATACAGAGCATAAATCTTTTTATTTTTCTATTTCATTTCAAGGGAAGCCCGCACGAGAAGCATGCTGCGGTGGCGGCTCTGCTGCCAGATGGTTTTCAGAGCTGGGTTTGATTAGCTCGCCCTGCTCTAAACTGGTGGCTCATCCCATTTCTCGACTCACTGCACACAGTTTGAGAACGGCAACAGTAGTGGTGAAACTTTGCATAAATAAAGCCCAGTAAAAAAAGGGTGGCCTTACACTACGCTGCCTCTGCCTCGCCTCTGTGGAAATACTTGCTTCATTTGAATGACCTTGATAGGGGCATTTATATTTGCCCCCCGATTAAGTCTTGTATTTGTAATCTGACGTCCTACCTGACGCTTTACGATGAGATGTTCTAATGCTCCCCTCCCCCTCCTGACAAATTGATATAGATGATACGTTGCTCGCCTCTATTGTTTACGTGTGTTCTCAAATGCTGCAGCTCATCCATCATGGTTTGGTTTGCATGCTTGTGTCTGAGAACTAAGTGGGTTCAAAATAATGAAATGCTGCTTGTGGTCGTATTGATGAAGTTGGCATTTGTGCTTGCCTGATTACCAAGGGGATTGATGCGTATGGACGTTCCTAATCATTTATTATGGCAGAACCCCACAACATGCACTCAGTTGTACTATCAGGTTGTATCTCTGTGTATCTGATGTCAGTTTGCTAGGATAATTTAGTATCTGGTTTGATCGCCTTTTACCGCAGGTCTAGTATTAAAATAAGTTTCAAACTGATTCTTACAATGAATGAATGCTTCATGATTCAAGTCGGACAGATGCTAAATAGCATAGGTTCTTTTCTTTAAGTCCTAATCTATTCCATGGAAAGCAGTGAAATAGCCTGCTGCTTGGTACTTGTGTCATATCTCTGCGACTCTCGTATCCTAAGTGAGATAGCTGGTGGGGAGGGTCAGAAGGAGAGGGGTGGGAAGCAAAAGGAGCACGTGGGGAGGGAGTTACCAGTGTTGGATGCCTCTGAAACACAGAGTTGACATGAGCTGTAATTTTGCTTTTTTAGGCTTTTCTCTGGACTCGGGGAAAGGGATCACTTCGAAAGACGACATCACCTTTGTATCTGGTGCTCCGAGAGCCAATCACAGTGGAGCGGTGGTTTTGCTCAAAAGGGACATGAAGTCTGCACACCTTCTCCCTGAGCACATATTTGAAGGAGAAGGTCTGGCTTCTTCCTTTGGCTACGACGTGGCCGTGGTGGACCTCAACAAAGATGGGTGAGAGCACGCTAGGTCATTTCGCGTTTGTAAAGAAATCGTGGCTTCTTCGGCTTCTGTAGGTCTTGAGAAGAGCCATCCTTTCAGGTTCGTTGATTCAAAGAATATTTTTGCTGACAAATTTTCAGCATCCTTTCATGCCTTTATCACGTGTATTTTGGCAGTAGACAAATACCCTTTATTACTCTTTCCGGGATGTAGGATTATTACATCTTTCCCAATTTTTAGTTTTTACTCTTGTCTTGGGAGTGGGTCTGTGAGAATTAGAATTTGGGGCGAAAAATTAACTCGGAAAAGGACACCTACATGGTTCTTTTCTCTGGTTTCTTAAGGGGCCGTTGGAGCATCTAGAACAGTGGTTCTCAACCTTTCTAATGCCTCTACCCTTTAATACAGTTCCTCATGTTGTGGTGACTCCCAACCATAACATTATTTTCGTTGCTACTTCATAACTGTAATTTTGCTACTGTTCTGAATCGTAATGTAAATATCTGTGTTTTCCAATGGTCTTAGGTGACCCTACTAGCGTTGAGATTCCCACAGATTGAGAATCGCTGCTGTAGAGCCTAAGAAAATTATGAAAATAATTTTATGGTTGGGGATCACCACAACATAAGGAACTGTATAAAAGGGTCGAGGCATTAGAAAGGTTGAGAACCACTGGTCTAGAATGTCCTGTTGAAAGTAAGGATTGGAGTCAAACTCAGTACATTGCTCTGTGGCTGGTGGTGCCAGTTTGGGTCTGGAGTGGAAGATAGGAGGGGAGTGGAATCTTTACTGGGAGTCTCTGCACTTTGATCTAATTTGGAGAACTGGCTTGAAGTTCTTACCCTCCATCATTTTTCTTTGGTTTAAAAAAAATTTTTAATTGATGAGATATAAGTTCCATAGTTGGGGCCCTTTCCATCATATCATACCTCTTTTGTCCTCAGTACCTGGGCTGGTGGTATTCTCCTCCAAGCTGGCTGTTGAGCTGATGGTTCACAGCTTTTTTTCTCCTTACGCTCTCAGGTGGCAGGATATTGTGATTGGAGCCCCACAGTATTTTGACAGAGACGGAGAAGTTGGAGGTGCAGTGTATGTCTACATGAACCAGCAAGGCCGGTGGAAAAATGTCAAGCCAATTCGTCTTAATGGAACCAAAGACTCTATGTTCGGCATCGCCGTCAAAAATATTGGCGATATTAACCAAGATGGCTACCCGGGTAAAATAATAGATTATGAAATGATTATGATTTATATATAATTTGACTTGATGAGTTTATGGGATCTTACTTAAAGCATTGTACTGAAATGTTTGAAAAATGCAATGTTTGTTAAACTGTGATGTTGTCAACAGATATTGCGGTTGGAGCTCCCTATGATGAAAACGGCAAGGTTTTTATCTATCATGGCTCGGCGAGCGGAATAATTACCAAACCAACGCAGGTAACCAGATTACAATGGGGGTTTGAGCTTTTTGCCTGAAGATAGAATATTTAAGTTTAAGTGAATTTTCCACTAACCCCATTTTAGCTTACAAATCTACAATAGTATGAATTATTTTATGTTTTTTAAAAATGTGTTATTTGAAGATAGCTTGGAAATAGATGTACAGGTAATTGCAATGACTTGTTTGTTTTAATTGTAAAATGTCTTTGATAAGTGAGAATCAAGGTAATCGAAGGAAGAGACTATTCTACACTGACAGCATAAGTAGGTGGAAATGTGATGTATTTCCTTTAGTAGCATACTAAGTAGAGAGGAAACTGGCCAAATGAAAGAGATGATTGTTATTGCATGGATTATTCAGACACCAAATTTTAAAAATTGCTTTTGAGAAAAATAAGACATTTGGAGGGCAGTTAGAAAGGTTTGGTTTGAAATACCCTGATTGACTTAATACAGTAAACGAGTTCATAAAAAATTGGCTTGTTTATTCCTTGAGATACAGTGTAAATCGGGTGACTTTTATGCATTGTGTGTATGCTTATTTCTGATTTATTTATAATTGAATATAATTTAATTATAAGTGAATTCTTAAATGTCAGTTCTTTCTCTTAAACTTGTGTGTCTTTTTCAAAGCATAGGGTGATAAGAAGCTCATTTTGGTGGCCCCGTGTCCATTCTGATGACCTGTTCTTTTTAGGTTCTCGAGGGTAATTCACGGTTCTTTGGATATTCAATTGCTGGAAATATGGACCTTGATAAGAATTCCTACCCTGATGTTGCTGTTGGCTCCTTGTCAGATTCAGTAACTGTTTTCAGGTGTGTTAAAAGCATGTTCAGTACTTGGGTTACATTAAAATTTTGCCCTTTTGAATTGAAATTTGTAATGCCTATACTTCAAAAGACAAAAGCTGTTATAAATTTTGAAGATTTCCCTTTTACAAGTCGTGTAACAATGTGATAAAACCTATTTTGTAAAATCTTGAACTCGCTGAGAAAAAGCTAGGTTAGAACTGGTGACTAACTGAACATGTGTATGTGATTGGGAAGAGAGAGAATTCAGAGCAAAGTTCTCAGTTGTGGTTTGTTCATGGTAATCTACATCAGTCCTGGACACTGTCCTTCCCAGCTGCCACGAGAGGAGAGCGAGGTACTTTGTGTCCTCTTAGGTTAAAGCATCCACCCCATGTTTTACCTGGTGGTTCTCTAACTCTACTTTTATACCCTTTTCTCTCTGGTCATATGGATACTAACCATACAATAGTCACCATTTTTAAAAGATGGAACATTCAACTATTTCAGCGAAGTTTCCATCAAAAAGCAGTTGGAATTTCTAGTTCTAGTTTGCGGTTGAGCCCTCAGGTATCAAGAAGACATGACTTCCTGTACCAAAATTTGGTTACCAAGTGTTTCCCAGCAGATAACCTGTCTTTAGTTAAATACTTGCTTCGCTCTGTCATTGATTTTTTAAAAATAAATTTTATTGATTTTTTACAGAGAGGAAGAGAGAGAGGGATAGAAAGAAACACTGATGAGAGAGAAACATTGATCAGCTGCCTCCTGCACACTCCCCACCAGGGATGTGCCCTCAACCAAGGTATATGCCCTTGACCGGAATTGAACCAGGACCCTTCAGTGCACAGCTGACACTCTATCCACTGAGCCGAATCGGTTTCAGCTTGATGTTTTAACACCCTTAGTTTTCCTGTCCTCATAAATGGGTTGTGAATCCTGTAAACTTGTTCCTTTTTTCCTCATAGATAGTAGGAAAGTAAATTTCAGAAACATTTGATAATGAAAGGAAAATCAACTTCCTTATTTTACACACAAAGCAATGGAGGCCCAGGACTGGATCCTGCGGGAACAGGACATAGCACCTAGATCCTCCCAACTATTTCCCTTGGCATTTCCCCATTAAATCATTCTAGGACTTCAGGGTAGCTAATAAATAGATAGAAGTTAAATAAAAGACAGCTGGGCCAAAAGATTTGCTTCATGTGTTAAAAGGCAAAATTTTCATGATTTATATATAATGTATACTCAGTATTGCATGTGGATGTTGTGTGTTTAAAAAAACAAGTAAAAATAGAGTTGCAAAATGCGTTAAAATATTTTCTTTTAAAATTTATGCTCCACGGAAGCCTTAATGCTATGACATCCAAACACTTAAATAGCTATCGCAACTGGTTTTAAAATATGTGTGAATTTTTGCCTTTTAAATATGCTCTCAAAACTTGGAGCGTCTCTAGTCAGTATCTCAGGAACTAGCAGCTGCCGCGATGTAAAATAACAGCAGGAAGAAAGGAAGACACGGACTGTGGGCAGCACTGGCCGTTCTTTGGCTCCCACCTTCCCCCAGAGTGTTCTGGGCCCTCTCTGGCCTCCTGGTAGATTGTTTCCAGAAGTTCAACCTAGTTTATTGGAATTGGAATGCGTTTTCCTATCAGAATATTCTCCAGGATGGCCGGGTTCACCACAAGCCCACTACAGTCAGCCTAACGGGATCTGTGTGGTAATGAAACCCTGGCACCCACTCTGAGCTCTGGCTGGAGAGAGACAGAGGCGAGAGGTATCTTTCTCCATCCCACTCGCACCCCCAGCCACTGCACACTCGCAGGCCTGTGCCTGTGGCAGAGGCCAGGTCACAGGCCAGCACTGACCGGTTGGCTGTGGGAGTGGAGGTGAATATAGAAGGGGGAGGGAAAATGCTTTTATGCCGTGAGAAGACCTGGTGTGGGATGCCAGCGTCTTGAATGTTTGTGAGGTTGGGGTGAGATAGAGGGTAGAGGTTAAGGGATTTGAGAATTTGCCTACAGAGATATTGGGGGGCAGAAAAGCTTAGTCCATTGCAGCATCAGGAGTACAAGGACTCGGGGCTGGGAATGGTGGTTCTGGGGAGGACAAGGAAGGGCGAATGTTTGTAAGATGGAGACCCGGGGTTCAGGCTCGCCTGAGTCACTAAAACCCAGGTGCATGCAGAACCCCTAATAGTGAGCATCCCAGCTCTGAGGAGTATATGTTGGTGTCACCTTTGTGAAGGCTGTTTTGGCAGGATTACTCATAATTAAAATATACATATTCCTTGACTCATTCTGCTGAACTGCACAGATAAAGTCAAATGTGTGCTGCGATGCAGGTGCCAAGGGTGTTGGTCGGGGCTGAAAGCTGGAACCGATGCACATGGGCACCCACGAGGGATTGGTTACACGCAGGCTGTCACCTCGGCACCTGCGCCCTGCCCGCGGTGGGAACCGGGGCCAGACCCACGTGAACAGCCCCGAGGAGACCCAAAGTGTTAACACATGGGAAAAGCAACAGAAAGCATGGAATTTCCCGTTTAAAGAATCGTGTCTTTTTATTTTAAACCAACACGTGGACGATGACGTGTCTGGGAGAATACAGAAGGCTACTTGGGAGCTTGGGTGGGGACTGAGACGCTATTTGCTTGAAAACCCTGGGATTTTTACATGTTGTACCTATTACTCTTTCGATGGGAAACACACACACACACACACACACACACACACACACACAAAACTATTAAAACTAGAACTTTTAAAAATTTTCAATATTATTTAAAAATTTGAAGTATTATAGAATCGGGTTTTAATCTGTATTGAACAGTTATTTTCTTCAGTCACAGAGGAGATAAATTACACGGGGGGACATTTCCCCTGTGGTGGTAAGGCGTATCGGGCAGCCGAGGGCCAGTGTATAATAGGATGAAATCATGTTACATTCAAGGGAGCAAAGTTCTGAGCTTGCTTCCCCCTCCTTTGTCTTCAGATCCCGGCCTGTGATTAACATTCAGAAAACCGTCACAGTGACACCCAACAGGATCGACCTCCGCCAGAAAACTGCCTGTGGGGCGCCCAGTGGGATCTGGTGAGTTTCCCACAGACCCCTCGGAGTCACCCGTCCGCTCTGTGCTGCCCCTGTTGGCCTGAAGAGCTGCAGGGAAGGCTGAGAAATGGGCAGAGGGAAGTGGAGTCTGCCAAGCAAATGGGTAACCATTGACTCATCGGTGATCCGTGGGGGTGGGGGGGTGGGGGGTTGAGAGCTGGGAACATGATGTTGTTGTTTTTTCCTGCTGCAATAATGCATCTTTTAAGAAGCCATGTGTTCAATTTTATACAGCCTCAAGGTGAAGGCCTGCTTTGAATATACTGCCAAGCCCGCTAGTTACAATCCTTCAATATGTAAGTACCTTGTACTCTTAAAAATGACATGGTTTCTGTCTGCCAGGTTGGAAGTTCTGCGTAAAGAACAGAAAAATACAACTGCAATGGCCACAAATGGGGATCAAGTCTTATCGGCCATCTTCCCTCTCATCGGAGGGGGCCGCACACGAGGGAAACACTGGCCATTTGAATTTTCCAGAGCAGATGGTTTGGGGCAGAATGTCTTGGAAAAGAATTCATTTGCCACCACAACCATTTCCTCCGTCTTTGTCTTTGAAAGGCGGTGTGGAAAGTTGGTTTTGCGGCTACGAGGCAGTGGGTGGTGGGTGATGGTGGGTAGTGGTTTGGAAGAGTGACGGCAGGGTAATTGCCAGTTTGTGCTCTTTGCTCCTGGCCTCTACTAGGAATTACTATGTAACATTGTGCGGAGATCAGATGAGATGGTGTGGTGAAAGCAGTGAGTCATTTTTTTTTTTAAATAAAAATTTATATATTTTATTGATTTTTTACAGAGAGGGAGAGAGAGGGATAGAGAGTTAGAAACATCGATGAGAGAGAAACATCAGTCAGCTGCCTCTTGCACACCCCCCCTGGGGATGTGCTCGCAACCAAGGCACACACCCTTGACCAGAATCGAACCTGGGACCCTTCAGTCTGCAGGCCAATGCTCTACCCACTGAGCCAAACCGGTTTTGCCCAGTTAGTCATTTCTAAGGTCTCATCCTGCTCTTTCCTTTGTAATCCAAATTCTGACAGGGCTTACCATACTCCAGCCGGAGTGACGGTCCATCATGAGATTCTCTGGTATGTCTTAGAGCAGCCATGCCTCTTCAGGTCTAAGCCACCTGCTCCAGCTCCCGACAGGGGGTGTGGAAATGTACAGGAAATCTTTCCCCAAAAAGAAGTGCAAAGAGGGAGGGTGCTTTCCCTCTGGGGTCTGGTAGGGGTCTCGGCTGCTGTGCTGTGTGGTACCCATGCCACCAAGGGAAGCTTCTAGCGGGGCAGGTAGTTCCTGCTCTTCCCATGCTTTTCTGTTTTTCCTCCACCTCGAGATCATGAGTTTGCGTAAGATTTCTCTTTGTTATCTCAAGTGTCACTGTTTTCTCTGTTTGAAAGATGTCCCCGTTCCTCTCCCAGAGTTTGGCAGGTAAGTCCACTCCCCGCTGGGCCACGCTGTCATAAGCCGCTTAGCCTTCCTCTTCCGAGATGCTAAGCTCTCAGGTTCCTGCTTCTCCCCGATGTGCCGGGCGGCATCCGCCGGGTCGTCTCCCTGGGACCGGGGCCCGGGGCCCCAGGCATGCGGCGTCGGCGGATTATGGCTTTGTGTGCAGGCGGAGCGAGGCCTCTCGCTTTGCCTTTGATGCCGCTGGCATTTCATGGAGCAGAGAAACAGTTCCGGGTGTGGCTTCGAGCGACAGGAAAACGTCTTCGATGACTTTGCACGATCTGTCGTCTTTCCAGGATCACTGGTGCCATTTCTACCCAAATGCAATACCTCACACCTGCCTGTTCGGATCATGGGCCCTTTACGTTGTGTTGGGAATTGGCCAGAGAGACCAGGAGAAACTGGGACTTCTCTGAGTAAGGCCAGGAGACGAACGGGAAACATTTCTATTCTCTCAGCCTGTCATTTTCTCAGGCCACGCTCCCTTCGGCGATAGATGTGACATCTCATCAGGGCATTCCTTGTCTCCCCCCAAATCAATATTAATTTCATATTATGTAACGACTCCATTAACCAAGTGCTTATGGAGAGCCTCTTACGGACAGAGCTCCTCTCTCTGAGGACATGTGGAGAAAACCTGCTCTCACGGCCCGTATTTCCACCGTCTTGGGAAGTCCTAAGTCAGACCGAACAGAACGCCCACCGAGCCATGTAAGGGAATACTACATCTGCGGTGTGAGCACGCGGGCCTATTGTTGGGCCAGGCCGTTTTCACTCCGCAGCCCTCGGATGTGGCGCTCCGTACGGACGGCGTTTATAATTGAGCCTTAATGAGTGTTCTCCGTGGCTTGCCCCTCCAAAGGTCGGCCAAGGTGGCCTGCAAGGATTTTAAGATGATGTGAACTGTCTGGAGGGTTAGGGGAGGTTGGAGCGGTTTGGGTAGATAAGCGGTTTTAATGCACCCACACCCTCCCCTCCTCTTGCTGCCGGCGGGGCTGGCGGGGGCGGGGGGGGTGAGAGGGGGAGCACTCAGCCTGGGAGCCCTCGTCTGGTTCACTGTGAAGTTAGCAGGTCACTGATAAATGGATGATGTCAAGGCTGCCCAGGGCCTAAAACGGAGACGCATTCCATTTGGCAGCCATGACATTTAAAAATTCTTTACATGGACACAGAAATTACTCTCGAAACTGTCAGTGTTTCTGAATTTCGGGCCAGCACACCCGAAGCGCTGTCGTTTCAGTGTAAGAGTAGCGTCCCATTGTGTGTGTGTGTGGGCAGGCGTGTACCGGTGTGCGTGTGGATGTGGGGCTGGCACTCCCGCTTCCATTCATCTATTGTACAAGCGGTATCTGTATCAGTCATTGTGCTTTGCCGGCAACACAGTGGTGAGCAGACTGAGGTGGTCCCTGTACGTAGCTCCGCCGGGAAAGGTGGTCAGGTGGTTACAGTGCAGTGGGCTAAGTGTAGAATACTGTCAGCTCCCCCAGGGGGCCAGGGGAGGCCTCCAGAAGAAGCGACATCCATGCTGAGATCTGAAGGAGGAGGGCTCGTGGGCAGTCAGGGGGAGGGGAGGAAACGGGGGGGCGGGGGGTCCCAGCTGGCAGAGAGAGAGAGAGAGAGAGAGAGAGAGAGAGAGAGAGAGAGAGACTCATGAGGCAAGAGAGAGAGAGAGAGAGAGAGAGAGAGAGAGAGAGAGAGAGAGAGAGAGACTCATGAGGCAAGAGAGAGAGAGAGGCACTCATGAGGCAAGTGGGAACCTGGATATTTAAGAAACTTCAAAATCAAGCAGTTATCTTTTGTGTTTGTGACCCAGGCTTAGGAGCTGGCTCTGCCTTTGCAGCTCACTGTGTGGCTCTGGGCCCGCCCGCCTGTGTGGGCCTCCGTTTCCTCATCTGTAGGAAGAGGGTATTGCCATAGATGCTCTCAAAAGGGCTCTGGCAATCTCTGCCTTGACTCATAGACCAAGGGTCGTTGATTCAGCTTTCTACATTTTTCTGGAACGGATTGTTTTCCCTTGGGGCTGCCTTCTCTGGCACTGTACACCCTCTGGTTCCTTCCCTTCTGACGGTTACTGATTCCTGAATGTAAGTAACTTCAGGGTTCTCCTGTAAAGAGAGAGCAGCTGTATCCAGAGAACTGGCAAAGAGTGCATTCTGAAGTCAAGGACGGAGACTTCGATTACCCAGGTCCTGGCTGGCCTCAGCTCCATTAGTCTAGGTCAGTGGTGGCCAACCTTTCGGACCTCTCGGACCTCACGGACCACCAGTGGGTGACCGCTAGTCAGAGCAGCTATGCTTTCTGGAGCTCTGCAGGCTGGAAACGTGACTTGTGGGAGCTAGATTAGCTGACACCCAGACCCTCTAGCCACTAAAAGGAACATGTTTTATCTTTTAATTCTTTTTTTTTTTTAACTTGAAAATTCTCATCCTATTCTCAAAAGACTTTTATATCCCTAATAAATATATTATTCCTCTTTAGACATCTGTCCTTTATCAGTGCTTATTAACTTTAGCATGTGAAAAGCCACCTCACGGTCCTGTGATGATGCAGAGCTGGCTCACGGGGTCTGGCTGGGCCTGTGTCTGCATCCCTAGCAGACCTCAGGAGATGCTGTGCTGCTGGTCTAGAACCCTTTTGAAGGGCATTGTTTTTCTTTTCTTTTTAAAAGAAAAGTTTAATTTCTAATCACAGTTGATATAATATACTCGTCTCAGGCACACAACATAGTTATCAGACATTTGTATACCACTAGAGGCCCGGTGCATGAAAAGTCATGCACTGGAGGGGGTCCCTCAGCCCGGCCTGCCCCCTTTCACAGTCCTCGAGTCCTCGGGTGGGAGCTGACCCGGCCATCAGGGGAAGGCAATGCCTTCATCCTTTCCCTGCAGCTGTCACTGCTGGCAGCACAAGCCTCAGTCGACTGGATATCTGAACCTCAGGTGGCCCTGGGTGGCTGGGCAGCTGCCATTTGGGGCTTGCCTGCACCTAAGGCATCAGCTGGGCAGTCGCCATCCAAGGCTTGCCTTCGCCTCAGGCCGGCTCTGGGGGGCTGAGGGAACTGAGGGACTCTGGAGGCAGGTGCACGGAGCGGCTGGATCTACCTGGGGTCAGGCCCAGCCATTGCCGCACACTTTCTGGCCCAGCCAGGTTGAGGGGACTGGGCACCACCATCTTGTGGTGTGGGCGATGCCATCTTTGTTGAGGGTGTGATGGTCAATTATCATATTTCCTCTTTATTAGGTAGGATATGAAGTGGTCACCCTAGTAAGTCCAGTACCCATCTGACACCACATATAGTTATTATTGTATCATTTACTACTAGAGGTCCAGTGCATGAATTTCGTGCACCAGTGAGGTCTCTTGGCCTGGCCTGTGGGATCAGGCCAAAACCGGCTCTCCAATAACCCCCTAGGGGTCCCGGATTGCAAGAGGGTGCAGGCCAGGCTGAGGGTCCCCACCAATGCATGACTGGGGCTGGGGAGGGATGTGGGAGGTTGGCCAGCTGAAGAGAGACCGTAGGAGGGCTCCTGGGCATGTCCAGTCCATTTTGCTCAGTCCCGATCAGCTGGACTCCAGCAGCAAGCTAACTTACCAGTGGGAGCGTCTGCTCTTTGGTGGTCAGTGCACATCATAGTGAGCGGTTGAACAGCCTTAGCATATCATTAGCCTTTGGTTGGTTGAACAGACTATCGGACAACCGGACACTTAGCACATCAGGCTTTTATTATATAGGAGGACGTTTTCTATGTGGTACTTTACATTCCCATGATTGTTTTTATAACTGGCAATTTGTACTTCTTACTCCCTTTTTGAGTATCAAAGTGCTAGGACATTTAAACACTGAACTGTAGAAGGGAGAGTCAGTTTGGGCCCTTAGGGAGTGTTGGGTCCTCTCCTATTATCCTGAGTGGCCTGAGCTGCTGAGATTCAGCCAGCAACTGATTCTTAGACACTGCTCAGAGGTTTTGACTTATTATTGAGCTCCCCCTGGTGGCTCCATGAGAAATTAACTTTTAAGACTGTCAACAGCAATGGGCAGGAAAGGACAGCTTGACTTGAACAGGGTAAGTCAATCAAAATGTCCATTATCAAGAAATACGAAGAGAAACAATGGCAGTGGGAAAAGTGTCCTTCTAAAAGAAATTAAAATATTTTTAAAAGGAGCTCTGAATACTTAACAGCTGAATGTGCATGGATGCACTTTAAAATCATGATTTCTGTCCCTTTTATCTAGCCATTGTGGGCACGCTTGAGGCTGAAAAAGATAGAAGAAAATCCGGGCTCTCATCGAGAGTGCAGTTTCGAAACCAAGGTTCTGAGCCCAAGTATACGAAAGTGATAACGCTGAACAGGCAGAAGCAGAAGGTGTGCATGGAGGAAACGCTCTGGCTGCAGGTGAGGCCGGCGGGCAGTCAAAACGGTTTTTTGTTTGTTTGTTTGTTTTTTAATGGGGACAAGGGTTGGGCTTAATGGTGGCTTATATAGATTTTGAAATTTATACTGGAAACCCATTATTCAGTATGAAATAAAGCATAGTTATTACCGTATCGTTTACTACTTGGTTTTGGTGTCGCAGGAGCATCTATCCCATGCTTACCCGTATCTCTGCATCCTTTTCAGGAAAACATCAGAGATAAGCTGCGACCCATCCCCATAACTGCTTCGGTGGAGATCCAAGACCCGAACACGCGGCGGCGAGTGAATTCACTCCCAGAGGTTTTCCCGATTCTGAATTCCAACGAGCCCAAGACGGTCCATACAGACGTAAGTCTTTCTGACTTGTTTTGCCATATTATTATGTTGAATCAAACGTCTTTAAAGGCACAAGAACAAAGTGATGTGCTTTAAAGGTAATTTCATTGTATTCAATAAGCTTTTAAAAATATCTGCAAAGTTTGAAGATCTGTTTCTCTGATTAGCCATGAATATAGAAGCATACAGAATAGAATTTGGAGCCAGAAAGGATTTTTCTTAATTTTTGTTTTGTTTTGTTTTGTTGCCACTAAGACTTATTGAGACCATAATTGGCAGAACTTCTTATCCTCACATCCAGTTTCTCCTACAGCTGTATGAAGAAAGAAAAATACATTGCATTTTGCCAGGAAGAACATTAACGTGTAGAAAACCAACTGTTGTTCGTATGAACATTAAAATCAAGGAATATAAAAATTCAGCAAGTCAAAGAAGTAGCAGCTGTGAAGTAGTCATTTAGTGCTGACTACAATTTTAGGAGATTATTTTATATTGTATGGCTCGCTGCATGCCTATGAGGTGGGCATGTTTGCTAGGTTTTATGCTGGTTGAGATGCAAGATTAGGCTGGGAGCTGTGACATCCTAATTGCGCATTATGCCCTTGCTGTCAGAATCCTGTCTGTACCTCAGTGCCCGCTCTGAGGCGCCTGGGCCTGGTGGTCCACGGATGAAGCTTTTAAGAAGTGAGTACTCACTGTGTTAGGGTAGGAGCGGATGCCTAAATGTAGACATTGTCAGTCTTTTTTTTTTTTTAACCCTCACCCGAGGATAATTCCTAGAGAGAGTGGAAGGGGGAGAGAGAGAGAGAGAGAGAGAGAGAGAGAGACAGACAGACAGACAGACATTGGTGTTAGAGAGACACATTGATTGCGTGTCTCCTGCATGCACCCAACCAGGGCTGAGGGTCTAACCTGCAACCGAGGTACATTCCCTTGACTGGGAATCGAACCCGAGACCCTTTGGTCTGCAGGTCGATGCTCTAACCCACTGAGAAAAACTGGCCTGGGTCGCATTGTCCGTTTTTATGGTCACCAAACATAGTTCCTTATACTTTAGTATATTTCCATGTATTTTTCATGTTGATGATCATATTAATATATCTTGTGTATATCCCCAGCTCTGTAGTCATGTTAAACATAACAGATAAGGAGACAGTTTCCTAATTATTTATGAGGGTGATTATTGAGCACTATTAGCATTGCAGCTAGCAAACATAGCTCCTGATTCATAGGCTGGTGCTCAGCCACTGAGCTACATTGGCTGGGCTCAAAGTGTCTTAAGACACAGTTCTGCTAGGCCAAGGGGGCATTGCCTGCATGCCCAAGTATGTCTGAAGCTTGACGTCTGCTCTGGTGACAGTCACACACAGAAATGAACCATGAGGAGAAAGCCAGCCACCCACTCTGCGAGCCCCAGAGGGCAGACATTTCTGACCATGGTTTTGCTTTCCTCCAGGTGCACTTCCTAAAAGAGGGATGTGGAGACGACAATGTGTGCAACAGCAACCTTAAACTAGAATACAAGTTTTGTACCCGGGAAGGAAACCAGGACAAGTTTTCCTACCTGCCGATGTAAGCATTGCTCTGTGGCCCCAGCCAATAATCTGACTCTGGCTTTGCAGAGACTTTTGTTAAAAGGGGGCCTTACTGAACACATACTGAGGACTTTGTCTCATTTTCCTCTCCTTTAATAGTCAAAAGGGCGTTCCGGAACTAGTTCTAAAAGACCAGAAGGACATTGCTTTGGAAATAACAGTGACGAACAGCCCTTCCGACCCCAGGAACCCCACCCGAGATGGCGATGACGCGCACGAAGCTAAGCTCATTGCGACTTTCCCGGACACGCTGACCTACTCCGCGTACAGAGAGCTGAAGGCCTTCCCTGTACGTGCAGCTCCAGCCCGGCGGGAGGGGGAGCCACGTGGTGGCTGGTGAGCCTGTGTGATCTGGGTTGCTTTTCTGTTGTAGGAGAAACAGCTGAGTTGTGTTGCCAACCAGAACGGCTCCCAGGCGGACTGTGAGCTCGGAAATCCTTTTAAAAGAAATTCCAGTGTAGGTGCTGCCTTCCATACTGAATTTTACTATTTTAAATACCATGACAACGTTGATATGTTTGACCGGTGCTCATGGCTCTTTTTATTTTTATTTTTTTAGGTTACTTTCTATTTGATTTTAAGTACAACCGAGGTCACCTTTGACACCACAGATCTGGATGTTAATCTGAAGTTGGAAACGTAAGAGTCGCTTCAGCCTTTTCCGTACAGAATTATTTCGTGAAAACACAGCCAGTCAGTGGCTTTGGCCCTGATCTACCTCATACAAGAAGTGTAATTGTAATGAGAAAACTGACTGGTAAAATAAAACCCTATTGTTTCCTTTTCATTTTCAGAACAAGCAATCAAGATAATTTGGCTCCAATTACAGCTTCTGCGAAAGTGGTTATTGAACTGCTTTTATCGGTCTCTGGGTAAGTGTTTGTGTTTAGCATAACAAATCAGTGTTTGAAAGAACCACTTACAACCCTCACCAAAATGGGTGTTTTTTAATTTAACAGAGTTGCCAAACCTTCCCAGGTGTATTTTGGAGGGTCCGTCCTCGGTGAGCAAGCTATGAAATCTGAAGATGAAGTGGGAAGTTTGATCGAGTATGAGTTCAGGGTGAGTCCTAGCATCGGTCCTTGTATTACCGGTACCAGAAGTTAACATGTGCCGAATAGGGTCTCCAATATGTAATTTTAATAAGCCATATTAGTAAATGAGCCCGATAAATGCTCAGCTATTAAATAACACACTGGCACCGAAACCGGCTTGGCTCAGTGGTAGAGTGTCAGTCTGCGGACTGAAAGGTCCCAGGTTCGATTCCGGTCAGGGGCATATACGTTGGTTGCGGGCACATCCCCAGTAGGGGGCGTGCAAGAGGCAGCTGGCCGATGTTTCTCTCTCATCGACGTTTCTAACTCTCTATTCCTCTCTCTTCCTCTCTGTAAAAAAATCAATAAAATATATTTAAAAAATAAATAAATAAATAACACTGGCTTACAGGGAAAGTCCTGTCCTCCAGAACAGAGAACAATAGCTGTCATTCAGCACAGGACTTTGTTCAGAATCCAGTTCCCTCTGCGTTTCTTATCGTAGAGTTTGAGTGTCTGTGTGGTTTTGAGACAAAGGGACACTTGATCCTCCTGTGCCCTCCCCCCACCCCCAGTCTGTCTGTAAAACACAGGAACATGGCAAAGTGATTCATATTTGGCTTCAGAATGTGCTGTGATTCCTCCTCTGTATTAAGGCCATCTCTCTCACTGCTGTGGTCCATGCCCACTCCCCTTTCCCAAGCCCAGTTCAGCACATAAGCGCACGGTACCGAGCTGTCTCATGAGACAGGCAGGTTTCGGATCTTTGTGGCTGAAAGTACAGTGACCATTGTTGAGGTGAATGGCAGGAATGGCGGGAATGAGCTCATGTCTGACATTAGCAGGTCCAGGCTGAATTCTCTGTGCGACTCTCGGCCCGACAACATGGCTGTGATGGGCGGTGGTGACTGAGGCCTCTGCAGGTGTGGCTGAGGGAGGTCTGGGTTCCGGAGCAGTCCTTCACTCAGGCAGAGGGCTCGTCCCTCTTCGAGCTTCTGCTGCAGGAAGTTGCTCCGCCTGCAGCGTGGCCTCAGGTTTGTGGCTGCCATCAGGGTTTTACTCGGTCTCCCAGGTGCTCTCCCACACCTCCCGAGGGTGGTCCAGAACAGAGGCAGCTTCATTTTTTCGGTAGGTGGGCTTTCCCAGAAGCAGGTGGTTGGTGCATTGACACGGCAAGGATCTTGTCACCTGCCAAACAGGGTGGTTACAGAGCCAGTCCCACGTGACTGTCCCCGGACATGTGGAGAGCAGGGTGCATGTGTTCCCGGTAACCTGTGGCACCCTGCAGCTGTTCCTGGATTGAATGAACCATCATTTCTCTTTGACCTTTTTTTTCCCCCCCAATTTTTATTTATTTTTTTAAATTATTATTTTTAATATATTTTATTGATTTTTTTTTACAGAGAGGAGGAAAGAGGGATAGAAAGTTAGAAACATCGATGAGAGAGAAACATCTATCAGCTGCCTCTTGCACACCTCCTACTGGGGATGTGCCTGCAACCAAGGTACATGCCTTTGACTGGAATCGAACCCGGGACCTTTCAGTCTGCAGACAGATGCTCTATCCACTGAACCAAACCGGTTTTGGCTTTTCTGAATTTTAGTGACTAGAATTTTTTAAGCACATATCTCTATTTTTGAATACTCTGTCTATACTCTAATTTTGGAGCCTTTGCGCTCTCCTTTGTGATTATGCCAACTATTCTATTTGTTTGTTTTCTCTTGGAAATAGCTGCTACTTAATTCTACGTCACAACAGTTGTAAGTAGATAACACGCACTGTTTCCTAACAGGTTATTAACTTGGGCAAGCCTCTGAAAAACCTGGGCATGGCAACCTTGAACATCCAGTGGCCGAAAGAAATCAGCAACGGCAAATGGCTGCTTTATTTGGTGAAAGTAGAATCCAAAGGATTGGAAAAGATAGCTTGTGAGCCTCAGAGTGAAATAAACCTTCTGAACTTAAGGGTATGTTGGCGATTTTTCTCAGTCTCCATAGATAAGACTTCTGAGGGGAAAGCCACTACTTTCCTGAGGAAAACCATGTGCTGGCATGTCCACAGGGTTAACTCCCGGTAGAATAAAACTCATTCCAAAAGCTATTGGCACCTTAGCAAGTGACCTCAAAAGCCTTTCATTCTTGTTTCTTAAGACAGTAAATATGTGTTGGGTGCTTAGTGAGTCTTGGGCACTTTGCTAGACATTTTGTTTTCACTTTTCTCATTTCATCTCTCGCTAGTCACATGAGAACAGCTTTCTTTCCTTCATTTCATGGATGAGGAGATGGAGACTCGGGGGGAACAATAACTTTCAGTCTCAGCCTTTAAGAGGCAGACTCAACATTCCGCTCTGCTTGCTTTCAGAGCCGTCACATGTAGCTCTCTCCTGCTCCACACGCACGCCCCTGGTTTATCATGTACACTCCAGTGTGGTGAAGACTTACTGTGTTAGCGAATGTCTGTTTCTTCTGCCTTAAATTCTGAGGTGACTGGGTATGATCGGTGTTCATATAAAATGAACATTTAGAATGATTATTATATAGATGATTATTATTAATTATAGAATGACCCTTTATTCATTGACTTCGAGAAATAAGATGATCCTGATTCCTAATCCTTATTGTAAGGAAAGGGCAATTTTAAACTTCCTACAAGGCTTAGTTTTCAGTACTCTACGTTGAACTAAGTCACATGCTAGTTCTTTTTGCTGCTTTGTTTATTCTCATTCAAGAATTGCTGACTTTTCACTCTGTGTTAGGTACCCACCTGGAGGCAGGGATACAGGAATGAGATTTGACTCCCTATTTTAGGATGCTCACAGTTCGGTGGGGAGACAGAACAAAAAAAGCCTCTTTCTCTCCCTGGGTTTTAAGGTCAGAGTGGGAATCAGTGACCCAAATCAGTAAACATGAAGTGAGGTAATACCACCTGCAGATTTTTACACTTAAATTAACTCTACACCTTTGGTGAGAGGAGAAGGGTAAATACTGTGGATTCTGAATTTGGCGTCATTTGGGAGGGAGTACTCAGGAGGTTGCAGATCATGACAGGGAATGATGAGTGGAATGATTTGGAATATAATTCCTTTCAGGAGTCGCACAACTCCCGAAGGAAACGGGAGATTGCCGAAAAACAGATTGACGATAGCAAGAAATTTTCGTTATTTGCTGAAAGGAAATACCAGACCCTTGTAAGTATTTCTCAAGAGCTGCGATCTGACGGAGGATGTGTGGGGGGAAGGTCTCCCCTGAGCCCCTGCGTCCTAACCCCTGCCTCCCTCCCCTCCCAGAACTGCAGCGTCAACGTGAACTGCGTGAACATCCGGTGCCCGCTGCGGGGGCTGGACAGCAAGGCCTCGGTGCTGCTGCGCTCCAGGTTGTGGAACAGCACGTTTCTAGAGGTGTGGCCGCTGGGAGGCTGTCCCCGGGCGCCCTCTGCCCCCTCCTAGCGCCTTCCTCACTCCCTAACCCATCCGCTCCCTCTGTCTCCGCACAGGAGTACTCTAAAATGAACTACCTGGACATTCTCGTGCGGGCCTCCATCGACGTGACTGCGGCCACCGACAACATCAAGCTGCCACACGCAGGCACTCAGGTGAGATGGGCCCCGTCCACACCCGGAGCAAAACCCCCCCTGGCCTGGCCTCTCCCCGCTGCCCAGGGCTCATTTCACAGCCCTGCTACCTCTTAAGGAGACATCCGATGGAGTCCTAAGGCGCTGCATCCACACGCTGTACTTTAATGGAATCACCGCTGCTCAGGATCTGTGGTCTGGGAAAAGGGGACGCTGGCGGCACTGATGGAAGTAGCCACAGAGCGGGAGGAGGAGTTGTTTATTGGTTTACTTACATCCTGCACTTCATTCCTAAGGAAGTAGGAAGAGAGGGTCTGAGCTGCCAAGGAGAAAAGGAAATACGATCGGTAAAAAGGCGGACACGTCACATTTCAGGGGGATGTGATTTTCTTTTTGGGGGCTCTGAATTCGGAGAACCTGAGGTGGATCCTTTTGTAAGGTGGGTTTCTGATAGGAGCAGCCTTCACACTAAGGGGGATGTGTCTTCAATAGAGAGTTTTATAAAAGATAGAAAAATTCCTTCAGCATTGATACTGATGCTCAGCAGGACTGGAGGGCATTGGCCGCAGAGTGAGTGAGGGGAGCATCTCGGCGTGGGCAGGCTGCTGGGGTCCAAGCACTGCTCGCTGGTGCTGGAATTCAACCTGGCAGTGGAGCTCAATCCCTTCCCCTTACAGGCACGTGGGAACGGGGTCATTCCCCAGGGAGATGCCTCGATTTTAATGAAACTGGAAAGAATACTGGTTGTGGAGTTGGGATAGCTTCAGCTCACCTGAGCCTGTCTATCAGTAAGAGTTGCTGTGGCGAGATGAGAAAGGCTCCCCGGAGCCCCGGGGATGGCAGCTCCGGGATGTCTCCCCTTACCTGATTCCAAGGCCAGCTCTTCCTTCTTCCTAATCCCAGCTGGTGGACGCTGTCCTTATACAAACCCAAAACCCTTCTGTTGACAGTGGAAGCAGACAAACAATGAAGTCTTGCTCACTGGCCTCTCACCTCCCTGGCCCCCGGCAAGGCCTTGCACAGACTGGGTTTGTAGAGCTCCTTTGCCCTTGAAATGGGGAGCCCAGCCCCTGCCTTCGGTCCTGGTCCTCGCACGCAGTCTTTGTCCAGGGAGTTGTTTTGCGGTTTCCATAAGGCTCCAAGTTCTGGTTACCACGTTAGCCAGACTCGAGGGCTTACCACCCTCCCCTGGATTCCCACGTGTCCACCCTGCCACCCTGGGCTGCAAAGTCAGAAGCTGCCTTGTTCAGCCAGGATGCTGTTAGATTGCTGCCTCTTGTGGGAGTGATTTCCCCTATTACTGGCTGGTTAAGAGGCTTTGGTAAATATGCAGTGTGGTTGTAATACGGTTGATTCTTCCGGGCGTAGACCAGTCTCCGCTCTCCACCTCCAGTTTTATCAGAACTTACTCTTCCACATGAGAATGGCTCTTCCGGATGGTCACCTGGCCCCCAAGGACACACTATGCGCCTTCGCTGTGCGGGACACAGGGAAGCCAAGGCCAGTGGCCTCAGCACAGGCTAGCTGAAATGCTCTTTCTGTCTTGTTTAGTCAGTTTACAGGTCGCATCCACTGTATTATCCTTCACTGGTCTCCTTATTCTTTCTCCCCTGCTTGATGGCTAACCTGTGTTGGAATCAGCAGTCTGAAGGAAGGGTTGTTTTTTCCTGACAGCTGGGACTCCAGTGGGAGGAAGGGCGGTGAGGGGAAGTGAGCTCTGAGGTCCCCTCGGGGCCTGGAGTAGAGTGAAACCTCACTGAAAGCAAAACAGGAAACCAGGGCACTGATGAGGTGTTTACGACTGCCTATTGCAGTCGGTATAGCTGGCTGGGAACTCTGAATGTGGTTCTTCCCACTAAGTGTTTAAAGAAAAGCAGTGCTCTTGCTTTTTAAGTATTTTCTGAGTCAAAAGGGACCGGTAGGTGTTTTCAGGTGTAAGTAGAAAGGAAAGTGCATTAATGGGTCAGATTTAAAAATAATGATAATTTACTATACCTGTACATCTATCTAATACTTTGTGTTTTAAAGAAGTTTCTTAGAGGTATAATTTTTGGTGTTTTTTTTTTTTTTTTTTTTTTTTTTTTTACATCTTTAAAATCTGAGTGAAAAATGTAGGCCAATTGTGCATAATCTGTCCCTATTGTTTTCATCACTAAAAACAAATTTTTGAAAAGTATGATTGTTCTAAAAAAGATGGCAGGTTATGAAGACAAAACAAACTTGGCTGTGTATTGATAACCTGTAACTTGATATTGAATGATGATTATACAATTTATCTACTTTTGTTGGAAAAGAAATACACACATAGTCAAAACATAAGCCACCATTTTCCAGATTCTAGGAAAAGAAGCATTAGTCTATTATTAAAGGAGAGGATCTTGCATCAAAAAGGCATCTCATCCTCCCACAGGCTGCACTGGCCAATGTGTGTCCAGACAAATTCCTGGTGTCGACTGTCTTCCTGTTTTGTAATTGTGTTGTTCTCTTGTGGCCATAGGTTCGTGTGACTGTGTTTCCCTCCAAGACGGCAGCTCAGCACTCAGGGGTTCCTTGGTGGATCATCCTTGTGGCCATTCTTGCTGGGATTTTGATGCTTGCTCTATTAGTTCTTTTACTATGGAAGGTAAGTGATACCTGGCATTTGAATTTTGTGATTATAAACTTTATTTCATGTTTTTAAAAGTTAATTCATACTGATAGTGTGTGTGAATATATATATATATATAAAATTTTTTCTCATTAATTCCTCTTCCCTTCCCAACATTTTATTATGAAACTTTAACAGCAAACTTGAAATTTTACCAATAGATACTTGCACATCTATCTAATACTTTGTGTTTAAAGAAGTTTCTTAGAGATATAATTTTTGGTGTTTTTTCACATATAAGTTAGCATGTTTATTTTAATATATTCTTATTGATTTCAGAAAGGAAGAGGGAGAGAGATAGAAACATCAATGAGAGAGAATCATTGATCAGCTTTCTCCTACATGCCCCACCTGTGCTTGAACCTGCATCCCAGGCCTGTGCTCTGACTGGGAATCAAACCAAAACTTCCTGGTTCATAAGTCGACACTCAACCACTGAGCAATGGGCTGAGAGTTGAGAAATCCAAACTGTATAATTTTGGGCAAATCATTTCACCTCCTTGGTTGAAGGGTTGCCTTAGCAATCTAACCCAATCTAAATGAGTTAGATTAGAGATCTCATTGTTTTGTTTTGTTTTTGTAAATTCTAAAGTATTCTAACTTACAAGTGAATTCGAAATATCATTTTTATAACTTTACATACTCTTCTTTTTGAAATTGAACTGTTTTCATGTGTTAAAGTCACAAAATTTTAGGGCCAGAAAGGATTTGAGTTCAGTGTCCTTTAAGTTGGATTTTGCACATCCACATAGGTGCCATGACTAAGTAGGTGAGGCTAAAACCATCATCCCCCCCGAATTGTATCTACTTTAAATATTGGGGTTCCACATAGGATTCTTTTTGGAGGTAAGAGAGAAAAGTCCTCTGGGCTGGTCCAGTCGCCTTTATTTTGCAAATTAATATGCTCATGTTCATGGATATTATATAGATTGCCAAGTTGGAGATAGGACTGGGGTTCCCTAAGTTTGCTAGGAGTATTCACTGGGTATTAAATTGAGAGGCACACATAAATATCAGGATCCATAGTCTAAATTGGCACTGTCCAGTAAAACTTTCTGTAACAGTGGACATATTCTGAGGCTGCACTATCCAATATGGCAGTCACTAGTCACAAGTGGCTGTTGAGCTCTTAAAATATTGCTAGTGCAGTGGGCGGTATTGACTTTTAAATTTAATTTAATTTAAATCTGAGTAATAATGTGTAGTCAGTTGGTAGCTACCCTTTTGTACAAAGCAGATCTGGAGTTTTACCTTCATGAGTTGCCAGACTTGGAAGCAGAATTTTTTGGGAGGGCAGAGATTTATTCGACCAAGTTATATTTCTGAGGGCAGGTCCATGGCCTTATGACCTAGATTAAAGTAAATAGATAAAATTCACATTGTTGAATGGAGGAAATTATAGTAGAAAGTGGAGTTGTATTTTATTTTATTTGATTTTTTACAGAGAGAAAGGGAGAGAGATAGAAAACCAGAAATGTCGATGAGAGAGAAACATCGACCAGCTGCCTCTTGCACACCCCCTACCAGCGATGTGCTCGCAACCAACGTACATGCCCTTGACCGGAATAGAACCTGGGACCTTTCAGTCCGCAGACCGACGCTCTGCCACTGAGCCAAACCGGTTTCGGCTGGAGTTATATTTTAATGCTCATTTGGAGTACCTAACCTTACACAGTGGCCCAGAGTTTGGGAAACCGACCGTCATCATTCTTTCATGATGGTTTAGTTGAATTTATATTCTGATTCACCCCACAAATTCAAAGGCCTCAAAATGATGGCATTTTTACTGTGAAAAGCAGAAAAATACAGTGTTTCTCTGTTTTATTTGTATTTGTGCTACCTACCTATTTTATGGTCCATATTTTTCTGTAAGAGAAAAAACACACCCAAACATATAATCAGATATGCATGTATTTTCCCTTTTAGAGTGGTTTTTGTCTTCCTGATTTCTGTTACAAATAGAAAAGTTGATTAGCTGACTAAAGCCATCCAAGTAAATGTCTGACCAGAGACCCATGGGAGGAGAGCTGGGTTGATTGCTGCCTGAAAGGAACATGCTGCAGTGACTGTTCACTTCCGGTTGATGCCTTCGGGGTCCCTTTGTAAACGAGCTGTGAATAGAAATCAGGCTACAGTCTGAGATTTTTCTTTTGTTTAGTTCACCTGTGAAACTGACTAAATACCTTGCTTCCTTATAGTGTGGTTTCTTCAAGAGAAATAAGAAAGATCATTATGATGCCACATATCACAAGGCTGAGATCCATGCTCAGCCGTCTGATAAAGAAAGGCTCACTTCTGATGCATAGTAGTGACCTACTTCTGTAATTGGTAATTGATCCACGTTTTTTAATTGCTAGCTGTGGGACCTGCTGTGGTTGTGGTGGCTAACTTTAAGAGCAACAGCTTGCTGTCTGTGTCCCATTAACAGATGTTTCCAAATGTCCACACTGGCTTGCCCCGCTTGGAATTGTTTTATTTATGTCACTTGAGAGCTGTTTTGTTTGTTTTGTTTGAAAAGCACAGAGCCATTCGTTGCAGGTGAGTTACTTTGTGCTGTGGTTAACCATCACCCGTAGCGATGAGGAGACGGAAATCTATACGCACACAAAAGGAGGCTCAGTGGCCCGGTTTGCCACATGGTGTTAACTTAGTATGCAGCATCCCATGGGATTTCAAAGGCGCATGAGAAACCATTCCCGGTTTCTTGTCCATTTCGGAATTTCCTACAGATGGACGCTTGTGTTGACTGCCTAATTAACCTTTTTGCATGTTGGAAACACAGTGTTTCTCTGGGTTGAGAGGGCTTTCTCACTGTCATCCTTTGCATCTCCTTGCTGGAAAGATGGGGGCAGGTTTGGAATGCGTTGATCGTTGCTCGGAAATTGTTCTGTGCTAGCTAAGCATGCACCTTCCTTTCCCGCATACCTACCCCAGGTCAAAGACCATTGCAACGAACTGTGACTATTGGCATGGTAGACATTATGGCCAGTTTCAGAAGGCAGCTCTTTACCAAAGTGTTACCTTCAATATCCAAAATTTAGTATAAAAATGCTCTGGACAGTTTTTATTTCAATGGACTTTGACCTTGTTTCCTATTCTTGGGATTCGATTCCACTTTGGGTCTCAATTGATTTTAAGTTCATGTCTTATTTGTAAACCTATGGAAACAGGAATTGGTCATGATTCCTTTTTCCATTTCTGTGGGCGTGAGAGGATAGAATTACTCCGACAGCCCCTTTCCATGTGAATCCCAACATCTCCATTTAATTGTCGCCTATCACCCTCAATTTCCTTCTTTGTTTAAGTGGGGCAAGAGCACATTTTGTAATGGGTAGATCTTTTGGCTTTTTTGAACAGAGTAATGAAAGTAGTCCATGTTGAAATGGCTTTAGAACAAAGCTTCTTGCCCATTTTTCCTGTTTATTCAGTGATAACCATAGTTGTAATTTTATTTTGCCCCATGACATTCTTATAAATTAATTCAGTATTAACATTCTGTTCCTGTTGGGTTCATGTAATAAACAACTTAATCAATCATTCCAAGTATCTTCCTCATCCTATTATCTGCACTTTTTTAAAAATATATATTTTATTGATTTTTTACAGAAAGGAAGAGAGAGGGATAGAGAGAGTCAGAAACATCAATGAGAGAGAATCATCGATCAGCTGCCTCTTGCACACCCCCTACTGGGGATGTGCCCGAAACCAAGGTACATGCCCTCGACCGGAATCGAACCTGGAACCTTTTGGTCCGTAGGCCGATGCTCTATCCACTGAGCCAAACCGGTTTCGGCTATTATCTGCACTTTTTAAATTGAAAACATCCTTTTTTTAAAAAAATAAAATAAAAAAGGCATATATATTTTATTCATTTAAAATATTCAATTTGATTTTTATTTTATTTTATTTTTTATTTTAGTTTTAAAAAATATATTTTATTGATTTTTCACAGAGTGGAAGAGAGACGGATAGAGAGTTAGAAACATCGATGAAAGAGAATCATCGATCAGCTGCCTCTTGCACACCCCCTACTGGGGATGTGCCCGCAACCAAGGTACATGCCCTTGCCCCGAATCGAACCCGGGACCTTTCAGTCCGCAGGCCGACGCTCTATCCACTGAGCCAAACCGGTCCTGGCCAATTTGATTTTTAAATATCTAGATATGTTCTCAATAAAAATCTACTTGGAATCATATGGAATATTTTTTAAATTAATAAAATATACATTCATTAAAAAAGAAAAATTAGGCAGCGCTCTGAAATTCAGTCTGGTGATACTTTCCTGAAGCTCTCTGTTAGTACCTGGTTGATTTTATTGCAGGACAGAGTTAGTCCCCGATTTGTTAATGAAACGGCTTCACTTGGGAGCACAGCACCATGCCCAGGCTGTGTGGTTCTCCTTCCAGCTGGGGATGCGTCCCGGAGCCTCGGAGGAGAGAAGACTCTTACAAGGACCCATGTGAACACTCACATGTCCTGGTGTAACTTGTAAACTACATTATCTGTGACCTGAGTTTCATTTCGTTAGTGGAAGAGGGGCATGAGATAACCTTTGGCTTCTGGCCTCTAAAAAAATAGTTCTTCAAAATGATGTTTCTCTAATCTATAAGTGAGCTCTTTTACAGATAGTATTGGGATTCTAAAAAATGGAAGCACTGTTTCATAAACTTAAATGTCAGTAAGGACATAGCTTACCTTGTTTCTAAATATAAAGACAGTAAGGAAAAGGGGGCTCTTCTTGCAGTTTTATAGCTATTTTTCTCTTCCATGTATCCCCACTGGCTGCTAAGATCTTCACCCTATTAGTTATTTCTGAAAAGAAAACCATGTCTTTTTTCCTTAGTCCAGAGGTAGGCCCTATCTGAACAGAAAGCTTAGATATTCCCAGCTAGGGCACTTGCTTTCCTCGGGATTACTAAGTGTGCTTCTGTTTATCTCTCCCTCTTCTGCAGTGTGGATTCTTCAAACGCTCTAGGTACGATGAAAGCATTCCCCGATACCAAGCTGTCAAGATCCCGAAAGAAGAGCGAGAGATCAAAGATGAAAAGTACAACGATCACCCGGAGAAAAAGCAGTGGATCACAAGTTGGAATGAAAACGAAAGCTACTCCTAGGGGCCGGAGGAGTGTCCCCATCCCCAACTGCTGTTTCAGTCCCCGATGCAGAAATTCAAACGGTTTAGAAGCCTGGCACCTGACTATTGAGTTCAGACAGACTGCACCATAGTACGAACCGACAGTTTCAACTGCTGTGTGGGCATTGTTACGTAGCCTACGGCTCCTGCTTTGCAGAGCCCAGATGTCAGACTGTTGGCATGAATTTTTCGTTAACTGCCTTAATTTAACTCTCTGGGTTGCCTTTATTTTTGGTGTGGCCGACTCACAAGTGCCGGGGAAGGCCCCGCCCAGATGCGCTCATCTGACATCCTCCCGCTAGTGTCACTGGAAGAAGGCACACGTGGTCACCATGTCAGCAGAGTGACGGTCGGAGCTGCCTCCGCAAGCATTCTTCCCAGTAGGACTGGAGGACCTGCAAGTTGACGGTCCCCCATCACAAGACAGTGCCGTGGGGGTAGCTGCGTGTCCATCTAAAGTGCTATCTTAAATTAAATGTGCAATAGAAGGTGATGTCGCCATCCTGCCATCTTTTTCCATTTCCGAGGCGTGTGAATCCCTGTTCACACCAAAGGCGTCCAGGTTTCCTTCTCCCTTTTCACTAAAAACACACAGGTGCAACCGACTTGAATGCTAGTTATCCTTATTTGTATATGGTATTTATTTTTTTTCCTTTTTTACAAACCATTTTGTTATTGACTAACAGGCCAAAGATTCTCCAGTTTGTCCTTCAGGGTGGAGTAAGCAATCAGAATTAGAACATATGGGTCATTGGTTTGATCTAAAGTATTTACTGCAAAAAGAAAATAGTGCTTTATAAATGTACCAGAGATTGTTATAATTTACGGATAAGTTATTTAAAACATCTTCCTTCGTGACAACCCTTATCTTCACCCCCTCCTTCCAAACCCAAAAGGTTTGTTTAAGAAATGGGATTAACAGTTAGAAGTTTAATTCTGAACAGACAATGGATATTTTTGAGTTTGGAGCTCTGTGTGACAATTTTGAATTTTATGCTATAACTTTCAGGAACTCTTGGAAATATGGGGTTTGTTTCTTGACCTTTCACTGCTGTATAGATAGGACTTGAAAGAAATGGTGAGTGCCTATGGTGGATCCAATCCGATCCAGTGGAAGACTACTGAATACTCGATACCAAAAGTCAGATTAGAACATCATGGCTTTTATGTCTTAAATATTGTTGGAATCACATCATGTGAGTCAGTGTTCTGTGTTTTTGTTTTTTTTTTTCTGTGTTTCCTTTCCTATCTATATTCCCCAAATTCCTTTAAGACTACTCTAACAAGAACTTTATCTTGTTGTTTAATTGTAAAAGTGGAGGAGGAGAGAAAGATATTATTCTATACATTCAATAGAGATTGAATGGATATGAAAGCCAGATTTTAAAAAAATGACTGTGCTTCAAAATGTTAAGTTATATGGAGAGCAACAGCAAACCTGGTGCTAATTTCTTTGGATGTAGTGTAAGCTGTGTCTCGTTCTTTTAAAACAAAATACAGCTATGTACCATTGTTGCTTTGGAGTTTTAATTTCCTTTTCTTTTTGGAAATCTTATACCCTTAAGATACTAAGAACATTACTCTAATTGTACTTTAGAAATTTCATTCACAAATACTGTTTTCCAAATGATATTTTGTTTACAAAAATTTCTTGAGAACAGGTCATAACAGTGTTTAAAATCTCAGTTTCTTGCTTAGATAACTTGGAACCCAATGCACTGGCTTCACAGGTTGCTCAGAAGCTGACGTTTTGGACGCGTTTATAGGCCCTTGTTATAAAGACGAATGTCCTTGGAAAGGGGTGGGGAGCTGGGTGCAAGGGTGACTCAGTAACAAAGAAACAAGAATGTAGTTAGTGGTCTTTACGATTATAGTTGCGAAAACTGTCATCTCAAGTCAAGACACTGGTCTATTCGCATTTGATACATTTTTATACTAACCAGCATTGTAAAGTTATTTCATGATTAGAAAATACCTGTGGATATTTGTATAAAAGTGTGAAATAAATTTTTTTATGAAAGTGTTCATTGCTTAGTAACATAGCATTGTATATGTGAACAAACTGTAAGTATAAGTACCCTGAATTGTTTTTCTTTATTTCATTTAAGCCAAACTGAAGTTTCTGATGTTTTTATTTATTCTGAGTGTCTCATATAATCTCAGATCAGCAAAAGATAATCGTGTGTCCCCCGCCTTGGCTTCACTGTTCAGTGGATACTCAAAAGAAAATGATGTTAAAGATGGCTTATTCAAGACATCTGCACGTTGGGAGATGTCTGTTTGCATTGACTCATCTGCTTCAAAGGTTATGCCTGTAAAGGAAAGGGTATTATTTAGCAATGATGCCATAGCATGAAAAATCAGCGTTTTTATGGCTAAGTTGCTCTCTTACAACACATTTTGGATGTGAGAGCAGTCCAGCTGTGACATGTATCATTAAATTGACCACCAAGGACTTATAATAGCAGAATTGAATGGTCAGAAAAAAAGAAAAAACAAAACAAAAAACTTACCAAAGGAATTTATTTAGATTGAAGTGGTTTTATGAAACTTCTCTATCTGGGATATCACAATTTAATAAATGAAAATAAAGCATATAGCCCTGGGCGGTGGCTGGTGTGGCCCAGTTGTTTGGGCATCATCCTGTGCACTGCAAGGTTGCCAGTTTGATTCTCACTCAGGGCACATGCCCAAGTGGTGGGTCTGATCCATGCATGGGCTGCAGGCTCGGTCCCTGATAGGGGGTGTGCGTGGAATGCTCTCACATCCATGTTTCTCTCCCTCTCCCTTCCTCTCTCTAAAATCAATTACATTTTTTAAAGGAGCCTGAAAACAATGCTGATTTATACAATTTAAAAATCACTAAAAAAAAATTAATAAATAAAGCATGTTATAGTGCCCAGACGATACAGCATGCCCTACCTATCCTGAACACATTTCCAATCTAAAATGTGTTATCTGTCCAGGATATTAGGTAATAGTTTCCCATTAGACTTAGTATTATATGTTAAATTTTAGCCTTCTTAATTCTTTGAAGATCAAACAGGTGTTACCACCCAAAGAAATGTGTGATTTGTGCTTTTTAATGAAGGGCCAGAAGCTGTGAACCTTTTTTTTAGCCACAGTCCCATGGATATATCCAAATTAAATCTCTGAAATTATGTGTAATCACCATAACCATTAAGGATGTCCATACTGTGGTCTGGCTATGGCTCTGGCATGAGTGACCTGGGATGGAGGTCATGGCAGTGCTGTATGTGGTTCCTGTGACTTCACCTCTTTCTTGCTATTGGATGGGAGCATACAGGAATGCCTAGTCATGGTAATGGTATTATTAGTATGGGGCTAACCAACACTGACACTTTGCTGGGTGCAGAGCACTTGTTATCATCTCATATACGAGTCATGCACAGTCATGGCTTACTAGTATGTTGTGTCCTTGTGGTTGAGAATATTCTAGAATGTAGGGTAGAGGTAGATGGGGAATGCTTTTAATTGTCCAGACTTGGGAAGTAAGCATAAGATGGAAAATTCTATCCTAAATGAAAACATCTTAATGAGAAACTGATCTCTGGTACACAACCCACAAAAAGACAACGTGGGAAGATACTAGAGTTGTTGGGTTGTTTTGTTTTAAGGGAGGAAAAGAAGGAAATGCTGTAGGTGGCCGGGTGCCACATGTACGTCCTCGGGGCTGAGAAAACTGAATGTGGAGGAGTTACTTGATCAGCTTGTAGCATAAAGTAAGTGATTAAAGGCCGTTCCTGGAATCAAAGAGAGGATCCAACTGAGGGGAAGGCAAGGCTCAGTGAGATGAAGAAAGTGAACTTGAGAATGATTTCAAAGGAGTGGCTATTGCAAAGAAGCCAGTAGGCATCTGTTCTCCTGGGAGTTACTGATTATGGTTAAAGGGCAAGTGAGTATTTCTTGTTCCTAAAAAGAAAACACAGGTTTTGCTGACTCAGAAAGGCATCCTATTCAGCTGTTAGGATATGTGGGAGTGGGTGGGAGTGGTGTGTACTAGTGGCTGGAGCCAGTCTGCAGAGGTGTTGCCAACAGACCCATCTAGGAGGAAAGTTATAAAGGGAATTCAAGGATACATCCTCTCATGAAGGATAAGTGAATTGTAAACAAATCTGAGTAAGAAAACTGGTCCAGCGCAGTGCAGGGGTGGGCAGGTGCCCACAAAGGGCAAGCTAACCAGGTAATGGTTGATTACACTGGAGTGAAGGAGTCAAATGCAATTTTCGCAGCAAAGTTTAAATGCCTCAGTCTTCTCTTAGCCCTTGCCCTGGAGCCATTCCTCAGCCAGCCTGCCTGTGCCAGGGTCACTGAAATGGGCAGAGACAGACCTGTTGGAAGTCGGATAAAACTTCTCACACACTGTTCTAAAACATACACAGAAAATCTGAATGCTGCTCTCATTTTCTCATGGCCCAGCAGATAAATATTAATATTTAACTTCTCAATAACCAGTAGACAGGAGTTTTCTGTGAAGATCCTGTCATTGTGAGATGGAGATAGACATGGATCAGACATTTTCCCTCCAATGTCCACCTGACTCCATACATAGTTCTCTGAACTGTACTTTACATCTTTGTGACTATTTTGTAACTGCCAGTTTATATTTCTTTATACTTCCATTTTTTTCATCCAACCCTCCTCTTATCTGGCAATCATCAGTTTGTTCTCTGTATGAGTTTGTTTTTGTTTTGTTTGTTCATTTTTTTTTACACTCCATATATAAGTGAAATCATATGGTATTTGTTTTTTTTCTATCTGACTTATTTCATTTAGCATAATACTCTCTAGGTTCATCCATGTTGTCACGAATGTTAAGATTTCTTTCTTTTTATGGTCAAGTAATATTCCATTGTGTGTATGTACTGAATCTTTATCCATTCATCTTTTGATTAGAGCTTTTAATCCATTTACATTTAAAGTAATTATTGATATGGTTTTTTTTATTGTATTTGTTGTTCTTCTCTGTTCCTTATTCTCCTGCTATCTTCTCTTGTATGTTGATGATTTTCTATACTGTTATGTTTGTATTTCTTTCTCTCTATTTCTTATATATCTCTTATAGATTTTGGTATATGGTTACCATGTGCTTCATATATACCAAGCTATGTTTTTTGCAGTCTATTTTAAGCTGATGGTTGCTTAAGTTTGAATACATCCTAAATCACTATTATTTTTTTTTAACTTACACCATCCACATTTATGTTTTTGTCATTTTTTTATTTCTTTGGTGTACAATGTGAGTGTCTTCTGATTATCAGAGAATAGTTAACTAGAGGTGGTCTCTTGATCCCTTTGGATTGCAGCTAACAAGTATTTTCCTTCACCTCAGTTTCTAGTGACCGCCTCAGAGCTCCCTGGGAGGGTCATTATTCTAGAAGTTAAAGCACACTTCAGTCTATTTTGTATAGTTGTAGTCCCCTGAGTTAAATCCCTTGATGCCAGTAATACCTAGAGTGGTTTCTATTTTGAGTATTGGAACCTAACCAATATAGCTACTTACTCAAAGAAAATGCTAAAGGGAATTAAAAGAGAAAACAGGTAGAGAGGAGATAGCTTATTCCAGCTAATGCTAGATCCAGAATATTTTTATTGCTTTTAAGATCAACTTAACTCTCTAAGATAAAGGTGAATCTTGTTCTTTCTTTTTTCTAAATCTCCAAGAGAGGGTGGAAACATGTAAATATATTACCTGACTCAAAAAGCAGCAGTCAGAAAATAAAAATAGAGGGAAATGCGGAAAGTCATCATTAAGTTTGAGAAAATATCATATTTCATAGGCTGAATGTGTTAATTAAATCCCAGTAATGACTTTGCAAAAATGAAATAAAAATCTGTTAAATTTGTAAATAGACAGCAATATAAGAAAATATATTATCAGTCTGCAGAACATGGAAATAGACAATGAATGTGTGTTGTTTTTACCTGCCCAGCCTCCCTTCTTTGGGTGAAAGGATCTGCTGTATACTTTGGGGAACCTTTCCTAACTCGATCCATGAGAGTGTTTGTGTGTATGTGTGTGTGTGTGTGTACCACGTCTCCTCACATGTTTCCAGGAATGTAAACATCACTCAAGCCTGGCCAATCAGAGTCAACCTGGTGCTTTTTTTTAGAATGATAAGGGAGAGAGGTCTCATTCCTAAGATATTGCCCACCTAGACTACTGAAGTTGGCGGCTACTCTGCTATCTCTGTCATTTGAGGAAAGGGCCTTGTGAAGGACAAGCAGAATCGAAATATGGGAGGAATATGGGGAGGAAGAGAGATGATGAGGAGGAGGAAAAGGAGGAAGGCAAGAGGCACTCTGATGCTTTGTATCCACACAGTACCTGAAGAGTTTTTCAGGGACATGAGACGAAATAGTCTCTTTTTATTTAAGGATGTTTGAAATGGGTTTTCTGTACTTGAGTCTGCAAGAGTCCTGCCTAATATAAAGTAAAATCTGTCAACACATCCCATCTCTGAAGGGATTGTCATATTTGGCTTTATAAATTTCCTTTGGTTAGATGGTTTACCTATGGGTTACCCCACCTTCCTCTTAGCTTCAGCTGTATGCTGTCTCCTGCTAAACAAATATTGCAAATTATGTAAGGATTTTTTAAATTTCCTGCCTAGATTTGGGTCCTTGTCTCATTTACTTTAACACACATGTTCTCTACACTAGTCTACACAGCCCCAGCATTCTCCTCTGTAAAAAACGATTTCACTGGTTAGTGCCTGTCCCAGAGGTGTTTAATAAGAGAAATAGCTCTAATCATTGGAGAGACTGAGGGAATTAGTAAAGATTACATAGTTAGGAAGTGGAGGAGCCTTGATTCCAGCTCAACTCTGCCCACATCAACTCCACACATTGCTTAAACACACTGATAAAGCCTCCTAATCAGATACATGCCTCTCCTCCCATCTAAGGCAACCCTTCCAGTCGCTCAAGGCCTTCCTCAGGCATTTAACCTCTCCCTCTCATTACATCCAGTTGCCTTCATGGACCCCTCACTTCCCACAGTT